TGACTTCACCTTTATCATACTATCCTTCATAGATGCAGGGTCAGTCTCCTCCCGCCCCATTCCGTGGTGTCAAAAAAGCAGGAGCTGAGGAGGAGGGAGACGCAGCTGAAGAAGAGGAAGTGGACGGTGGACCCGGGGACATCATGGACCTGCTGCCCAGAACTGACATCAGGTCAGTGAGTGTGGCAGTGCTTCAAAAACCTTTTCTTTTCATATAATGGATCCATCAGGCATCTTTTGATTGTTAGTAGGAATAAAAAGGATCCGGTCAAGAGATGAATTTTCTCATTCGCAGTGATAAAATCACATATGACATGGTGTCAAAGATCAGTGACAAGAACTGGAAGGTCAGAAAGGAGGGACTTGATGAGGTGGCTGCCATCATTTCGGAGGCCAAATTCATCCAGCCAAACATCGGCGAGCTACCGATGGCACTGAAGGGCCGTCTCAATGACTCCAACAAACTACTGGTAACGTAAAGTTTGTTTTAAACTAATATCAGAACTTAACTATTTGACTCTTGTTTAGCGTTTCTCACATGTGGCATTTCAGTTGTAGTATTCCAGTATAGGCTTGGCTGTAATGTCATAAAATTTGTCCGTAGGTCCAGCAGACTCTCAATATTCTGCAACAGATAGCCACTGCCATAGGTCCATCACTCAAGCAGCACGTGAGGAACCTGGGAATTCCAGTCATTACCGTTCTTGGTGACAGCAAGGTATGAAACGCTGTATGCACTAGTTGTTACACATGTGGTGTGGACTCACACAAGCTTGTGCTACTTGTCTGGCTCAGATAACTATTTAATGCTCTAGTTTGAGGTTTCTGATTTGCTTGAAATTTGACTTTCAGGCTAATGTCCGTGCTGCTGCCATGACGACGCTGAACGCTTGGGTGGAGCAGACTGGAATGAAGGATTGGCTTGAAGGAGAGGACCTATCAGAGGAGCTCAAGAAGGAAAACCCCTTCCTCAGACAGGAGGTACAACACTCACGTTTAACCCTGTAAAGCCTGACATATGAAATCATATAGTTCTGTAGTTTTTACTGTACAATAGGCTTTATAGGGCTAATTTCAGATCTGGAAGTATTTGTTGATTCTAACAATTTTAGAGGCTTTAAAGCTAAGAGTCATGGTCCAAAAACCACAACTTTTTTAAAAGGTTATTTATATCTGTTTTATTTGATCATTCATCGCAAGCTAAAATTCTGCTTAAAATCTATAGTTGCTGGGCTGGCTGGCTGAGAAGCTGCCCACCCTGCGTACGGTACCCTCAGACCTCATGCTGTGTGTGCCTAACCTCTACGCCTGTCTGGAGGACCGTAGCGGCGACGTGCGCAAGAAAGCTCAGGATGCCCTTCCCACCTTCATGATGCACCTGGGCTACGAGAAGATGGTCAAGGCTACCGGCAAACTGAAGGCAAGTGGGCAATGCCCTAACCTTGGGGCTGGGCGCAGCCTTTATTCCAGTCTTTAGTGTCATGCGATCCTTCAGAAATCATTCTAATAATGTGACCTGTTCTGGCAAAAAAAATAAATAATTTTGAATACATCTCTGTTCAGAGAATCTTGAATTTTACGTAACCTTTTGTAACGTTATTTTTACTGTCACTTTTGATCAATTTAATGTGTCCTTTTATTTAAAAATTCTATTCAACAAGATCTTAGTGACTCTAAACTTATGAATGGTTAAGTAAATGGTTAAGAAGACCAGGATCAAGCAGTTGTGTAACGTCACTCTTGCCCTCTCGTCTTTCTACAGCCGGCTTCAAAGGACCAGGTGGTTGGCATGCTTGAGAAGGCCAGGGCCTTGATGCCAGCCAAGCCTGTAGCTCCTGGCAAAGCTGCACCTTCCAAACCCGCCTCCAGTGCTCCTGCTGCCAAACAAGCTTCAGGTTCACTCATTTTCCCTTTGACCACAGCTAACATGACCACCTCTGCCTGGCTGGCTTGAGCTATTTTAAACAAAGGTAGGCAACTGGCCCTTAAGATCCACTTTCGTGGAGAAAGGACGTTGGATCTCAAGGGCCAGATTTTGCCAGTCCTGCTTTTGAATCAAATTTGTGATTAGTAAAAATCAGGTATTCTGAACATGTAAGTTAGAAACTTAGATTTGAGACCTATTAAAGATGCAGGACTCAGCTTGAATGTCTTTTATTTTACAGCTCCAGCCAGGAACCAAAGTCCCATTGAAGACTTCAGTGAACCAGAACCCAAACCAGACACTAAGAAATCTAAACCAGCGGGTCCTGCAGCTAAAAAGGTGTGGCACATTTCAGTCTTTCTGTTTTGTCTGCTTTTGTAGGGAGTTGCTGCTCATGAACAATTTAAAACCTTGTTCAATCTGTGATCTGAAACACCAGGTCCATATTACACAAAGGACTGTTCATGGGAAGACAATTATAGTTTTATTTATTTTACACAGTTAAAAAAAGAAAAATGGGCATAAACCTAAATTCAAAGTGTTAAGATGAATTGGGTTTTGTATTTTAGTATTTTAAATGTGTTGCTCTCTAAAGTGTCATTTTGTGCACTAGAGAGAGAGCATGGAGCTCAAGGTGAAAGGAGAGAAAGATAATGCTAAACAAAACAGGACAACTAGCAGTGAGAAGGTATTAGTATCTCCTGTAGAGCACCAGTGGAGCACCAGTGGAGCTGGTGTGAGGTGGAACGTTTTGGTGGGGAAGCACTGCATGTAATGTAAACTGATTCACAACCTTCCCAACCCCCTCTATGCACACCTTGGCAATATAATCACCATTGGCCAACTTGGTGGGGTTTTTTTTTTCCCCCTCTCAAATTGTATGTGTAGTGTATTTAACCATGCAGAAAATACTGCCGGTTAACGGCATTATGAACACCCATACTAGAAAACTTGTCCAAATGAAGTACCAGAACTTAAAACTTCAGTGTAATAACAGTTTTCCTGTTGCTTTAGGGTGTTGTGGGTAAGAAACTTCCAGTTAAAGCTGGGGCTAAGGATGAAGAGGACAGATCCGGTCCCATCTTCATCCTCGTTCCCAATGCTAAAGAGCAGAGGATCAAGGAAGAGAAGGGGTTAAAGGTGAGCAGCTTTTGAACTGTCCTCGTGAACAACATTTGTCCGCAATCTTGAGATGCACCGTTAGGCTCGTCTGTGTTTAGTTACCAAATCCCAACTCTTCACTAGATTTTGAAGTGGAACTTCATTACTCCTCGTGACGAGTATGTGGAGCAGCTGAAGACTCAAATGTCGACATGTCTGCCCAAGTGGCTCCAAGATGAACTCTTCCACTTTGACTTTCAACGCCATGTAAAAGCTATTGGAGTCATGATCGAGGTTAGTCACGTTGTAGCAATTGGCGAGTCTGCAATCATATCAAATTGTGCTAGACTTATAACTTTATGTTTTTCAGCACATGGAGCCAGAGTGTGACGCTGTGATTAGCTGTCTGGACCTGGTGTTGAAGTGGTTCACTTTGCGGTTCTTTGACACCAACACCAGTGTGCTGATGAAAGTCCTGGAGTTCCTCAAGCTGCTCTTCACCATGCTGAGCAGGAAGAACTACCAGCTCAGTGACTACGAGGCCTCGTCCTTCATCCCCTACCTGATCCTCAAGGTGGGTCTATCCATTATCTTTAGTGTAAATTGCAGGTTAACCACCTCAACCTTCAATTTGTGTAAATTAAAGTGCTCAATATGTATATATTTAAACATACCGGCCTTAAAATGCGTTAAAATATAATTTATTGGGGTTTCTTCAAAGATTGCATAATTTTTACAGTAACTTGGTTATGAGGTCATGAGAGGGAGTAGCAACCCGTACTCTGCTAGATTCCTACTTTTTGTGGCTTTACTATGGAGAACGGCTTGGAGTCCCTTTTATGATGTTACGCTCAGCCTAGTGAAAGAGAGGGGGAGTGTAAAAAGTACCAACTTTTCATATTATATTCAGCGTTTTGGTATTAAAAAACATACAAAACAATGGTGGGCGGTTCTTATCTTTTAGTAAGCACATTGCATTTTCTTTGTGAAAAAATGTAACCTGAAATTTACACTTTAAACAACGAAGACATCTAATTAGTTTAAACCGAGCAGCAACCCTCCAGTCTCTCTCATGAATAACACAGAATCCAATGCTGAAGTGACTTAAACCGCAATTCATCGACTGAGACAGGCTTCAAAAGGGAGGCAATTCCATATATCCTCCATTTTAAAATGCGTTGAGTATTGAGAGAACAACCAGCGCTGGTTTTTAGTTGTTTTCCTCTGTCAGACATCCATGAGTGCATGTTCACAATTTT